TAAAGATATTAGAAATTCAAAAAACACTGTAGATAACCTACTTTTGTTTTTAGAAGACTTTAATTTGCTAAGCAAACTCTAATTAACTGTTGCCATTCCGCTAATAACCTTATTAAGTTTAGCCGGTTTTTGTAAATAAAAAAAAATATGAAATTGCAATTTCTTTTACAGTAAACCACACATTACGTATGCTTTAAAGAACTTGTCTCTGTTTTCTCAAATTGTTGTTTAATTGTTCATTAGAAACCGTAAAAATATACTTATTAACTTACCCTAATGTTGGCGGATACATGGCTCTTTCCATCGTTAAAAAGAATAAGGTTCTCTTGATGTAGTATTTCTTCGTTTGGATTGCACCGTCCTATAAAAAGATGGTGAGGTTTGTTCAATATTTTCACATCGACTGAAAAATAACTCTCATTATTGACCTGCTATCAACACTTTATAATATTCAACATACTTTTTGAAGTTACATTTGTTGTTGTTAACTTTACTACAGTGTTAGGATTGTCACTGTTGATAATTACGGGACTAGCAAAAACTACTGCGAAGAGCGAGAGGTAAAGGAGTTTCCTCATTTTGTGTTAATTTTATAAAAGTATTATAACGACTAATATGTGATTTTAATAAAATTGATGTCAATGAAAGACCAAAGGTTATCTAAACTATGTCCTACTACACTGAGATTAGTAAAGAAATTGAAAGTTTCGCTAATAGTACAATGACCAATCGAAGATAATGTGATCAATGAAATTTAAAAAGAACTATTTTATATTATTGCTTAAATGATGAACTGATAAAATGTTTTACTGAATATTTATCTCCGTACATAAGTTTTGTGAGCTCTTAAGGGCATAATAGCATATATGCTTCCTTGTTTTGCCTCCAACAATTTCTATTTTACGCAATTATATTCCAATGGTTGATACCATAGATAAATAATATAATAGTAGTTGATACTGAGTTATGTTGATATTCTTTTGCCTTCTTCTGTCCTCCATCATTTCTACAATTTCTTCTGTCATCCAATATCCTTTCTTGCATCTGGTTGTTGTGAGTTCTCTGCGACTTGGTTCGATAATTGCATTTTTATTATCACCATTTATCATAGCATCACTGAACCAACATCAATTGATTCCGGTGTGGATTCTAGGTTTGCATTAATTTCTTGTTTCAGTTTTTCTTTGACGTTTTATGATTTTAATTTTTGTATGCTTAGTTTATCACTTTTGTGCCTTTTTTGTATCTTTTTTAAGTGAAGTTGGAATTTTGCTACAAAAGTATTGTGGTTCGACGCCACGTCTGCACCTGAGTACGCTTTCACCGATTGTATTGCGTTTTGGTATCTATGATTTATTAAAATATAGTCAATTTGGTTTCAAACGATTTTATCAACCTTATCAGCTGACGATTTCCAAGTTTAAAGGCGTCGTTTAAGCAGTTTGAAGAAAGTATTCATTACCGCAAGATTGTGTTCTAGGCAGAATTCTATAAGGCGTTCTCCTCTCTCATTTCGAATACCCTCATGATTATTATGTCATCTGCAAATGCTCCTTCTGAGATTTCTAGTCTTTGTAAATAGCTACGTCTAGTAGTTTTTTCTCTTATTTTTATAAAAAAAATATGATTAAATTAAGACAAATAAATAAAAAATAAAACCAACATTATTATATCTAAATTCTGAAATTAATTATTTATTCTGTTTTAATTAATCTAAAAATTAAAAAAGATCAAATGCGGAATCCATCTGCACAAGCGTTTACGGTTGCCATGGCAACGTGACGTCAGCCTGTCGTTAGTGATATATGAGAAAACGGGGAAGTGCAGATCAATTGAAAAATAAATTATTATCCGTCTTCACCCACTAGTTGGTTGTGTATGTAGTATTCCTACTTTTCGGAAATTTCTCTCAGCGACAATATTTTGAAATTTAGTCTTATATAGATATTTTTTATATAGTATAGTTTATGTAGTGTATTTATTAGTTTAGTTTAGTCACAGTATTAAGTTTATTTGTTTAATGAACTTTATTAATATATTTTTCTGTTGTTTGTTTCGGATTTCGGATATTAAGTGTTCTTGTGGATTTCGTTTGGACAAAAATAATATTAGACAGACATGAATCCAATTAATGACTTGGTGTGTAATATATTAGAGACTCCGTTTAGGCATTGAAAAAATGAAGATAAAAGGGATGTTTCCGTTTTATCTGATGAACAAATGATAATATTATAACTGAAATTAAAAACAGTCCATTTTTTTAATTGATGATACTACTAACATAATGCAGAAGTCGCAGTCTTCAATAATATTAAGATGTGTAAATTCTCAAGAACTATTAATTGAGAGGTTTATGGGATTTTACGATGTAAGTGCCGGTAGAACAGCTGAGCATTTGTTCAGTATGGCTGCGACAATTTTGGAGCCTTTGGAATACCGACATAAGCTTGTAGGACAGTGTTACGATGGAGCCAGTGTGATGTCAGGGCACTTAAATGGACTTCAACAAAAAATTAAATCACATGCCCCAAAAGCAATTTTTGTGCATTGTCTAGCCCATCGACTTAATCTTGTTTTGCAACAGAGCTTTAAGAAAATATCAAAATGTCGAATTTTTTTTGCAACTATTACCGGAACCCCATCGTTTTTTCATAGTTCAGCCAAACGATCGTACGCTATTACATCTACATCGGCTAGACGTATGTCAACAATTACAGAGACAACATGGTCGTCTAATTCAAAATTAATCAGTGTAATTATTGAAGACTGGCAAAAATTAAAAGAGGTTTTTGATAATATGAATTCTGAAGAGTCAGACCGCAAATCAGTTCAGCTGGCTAAAGGTTTTTTTTAGCAACAGTTTTTAGCGACATTTTCCATATAACAGATATTTTATATGATGTTCTTCAAAAAGTCCCTAGATATTAATTTTTGTTTAAACCAGATAAGGAGAACTCGTCAATTAATAAGTGATAAAAGAAATGAAGAAATTTTTAATTCTATTTTTGAAAAAGCAAGCACAATGACGGTCATTAATATTTTCAAACGGTTTAGATGTGATGATGGTATGAGCAAGAATGCAATTACTACTCAATGCAGAGCATTATTTTTTGAAATATATGATCATATTTTAATGGAAATGGATATACGTTTTCAGGATTGTGATAAATTAAAATTCGTAAGCTTAGCAGATACATCAAAATTTGAGTCATACAGTTTTGTAGTATCGTGAGAAACATATCGTGTAGACCTGGCTTAACACATATGACAGCTGTTGGTCACACTGGCTCCGGTACAGGGGGGACGCTATGTTTTTCCGTGACCTTCCCTTCCAAAGATTTTCAAAATTTATTTGAGTTTTATGCCACGCAATTTACTAAACATCAAAGACTTGAAAGTGATTTATGCCGACGAAAATTATAAAAATGTGAATTTGCAAAAATTGGATATAAAGGTACAATCAATTAAAGACATTGTTGCAGAAGCCTATAATTTGTTTTGTTTAATTCTGACAATTCCATCGACAAGCGTTTCCGTAGAAAGAAGTTTTTCGTGCTTAAAAAGGTTAAGAACTGTTGAATGAACTTATGCAGAAGCATCTTTTCTACGAGGATATTATTGATAGATTTGCCTCTATTGATAGATTTATAAAAACTAGATAAGTCAGTTCTATTAGTCTATCTAATACTGCTTTTTTTGTTTAAGTACCTATCTCCTTACTCTCGGTTCTAGTATCATCACCATCATCATTCCGCAACTTGTTGCATCCAATTTTGGATATAGGTCTCCTCCATATTATTCCATTGTTCTCTATCTTGTGTCACCTGTATCGAATTTCCCACTACTTTTCTAAAGTCATCCATCCTTCTTTTTGGTGGTCTACCTTGGTGTCTTTTATCTTCTCTAGATCTCCATTCTATGAGTCTTTTGGTCCACCTATTATCATTTAAACGTGCTACATGTCCAGCCCAATTTGGCTTGTGCAATTTTTTCTATGACATCTGTCATTTTAGCTCTCTCTCTCTCTCTCTGTCATCCCGTGACCGAGAGATTGTTGCTGGACCTCCATCGGACGCCTCCTCAGGTGGCGGATAGAGGAATGCATCCTAGATATAGGTGGTACATGGGAAATGAAATACTCGGGGAGGACCAAAACCAGTAAACACTGCAGTGTCTAATCCAGAGTGATCGGCTGCAATCAGCAGCCGAAACTCAACAAATCCGTTTTATCAGGTGTGGTATTTTAATAGCCAAAAAACCCTCAATGAAATGTCGAAGGTTCAGAATTAAAATACTCTAGGCAAGCAGAACGAATCGTATCTAAAGTTATTAGAGCCTAAACTCTACATTTTTTTAACGAATTTTTAATGATATTTAGGCGCGACGAGGTAAATCGACGTAAAACTCTTTTTGGCTCCAGCAAGGTTTCCTCGTCTTCACCACTTTTTTAGGGCCACGAGCCGCCGCTGCCACGTCTGCACCTGGATACGCTTTCACCGATTGTATTGCGTTTCGGTATCTGTGGCTTATTAAAATATAGTCAATTTGGTTTCTAACAGTTTGAAGAAAGTATTCATTACCGCAAGATTATGTTCGAGGCAGAATTCTAAAAGGCGTTCTCCTCTCTCATTTCGAACACCCTCATGATTAATATGTCATCTGCAAATGCTCCTTCTGATATTTCTGTTCTTTGTAAATAGCTATGTCTAGTAGTTTTTTCTCTTATTTTGAGCATTGCTTTATGCATGCATGCATATATAGGGAGATGCGCTGGCGTGCCTCCTTTTCAACATAGTCTTGGAAAAGGTGGTTATTGACGCCAGAATAGAAAACAGAGGAAATATGTTTGACATATCCTTACAAATTATGGCCTATGCAGATGATCTAGCCCAGGCACTAGGAAACTTTTTTCTTGATGTGCCAATATTTAATTAAACAATAATTTTCTTAAGTTAAATTCTATTTCTTTAAGTGTTAAGTTAAAATAAAACAAAATTTATATATTTTACCTTTTATTTGAGATGACATTCAACAGTATAAGAACAGTTTATTACAAATTTAAAAAATACTATATAATGAAACCTCTAATAAAAAATCATACATACAAATAAACATGCAAGATACATACCATACATTTCTCATACAAACAATACTTTATTGTTTCAGATATCTTAAAGTTTTAATTCTGTATTACATTCTACAATGGTATAAGTAAACCCAATATTCCAAAGATGTGAACAGATCAAAATGGTTTTCTTTGTTCAAAAGTGTTGTAGAGATCAGAAAGTCTTAAGACGTTCAAATTTTTGTTGATAAAACATTAAAAATTGAACTGTAAACATACGCTTTTTAGTATATTATACTCAATATTCAAACAATAACTGAATGGGCATAAGCTTATATGAGACCTATATGACGGAACATAAATGTTCATAAGCTTTCACATAGCGCCATTGTCAGTAAAGTTTAACATTGAATATTATAAATTGTTGAATAGTTAACACTGAAAGGGTGAAATTTTTTCAGAGAACTATGCTTTCCATCAAGATACCACATTTGGAAGTTTCTGAGGAAATATTCTCCTACCATCGTTTAGAACATACTTTCTGACAGTTAGCAAAAAGATCTGAATATTTTTAAACGACATAGCTTTTAGAACCAAAATATCAGAACATAGAAGTGTAAACATAGTAAATAAAGCGGGGGTAGTTTTCCCTGTGAACATAGTAAATATTTTTATAAAATGAAAAATAACTTACTACAAAGTGAGAACTAATGAATTATAATTCTTTATAAAAGAAAAATATCCCACATTCATTAGCATTTTTTGAAATTAAGCCTGAAAAAATGCTGATTAAAACATCAGAATAAATGCTCCAGTTGACAAAGATGAGAAAAAGAATCTTGTGAAATTGTGAAAAAGAAATTAAGAACTGTTGAATCATCAAATACATCAAATTGCTCTTTAAAATTCCAATACATTATACATCGATTATTATAAAGGCATTACAAAACTGTAAAAAACATTCTAGAGATGTGGTATTTAGTTTGAATATGAAATAAAGAATCATACATTATTCATAAACAGACTGACAGGCTTGTAACCTTTCAATTATTAACTGGACATATACTTACTTTAATACATCTATTACATTTAGTTCATATGGAACAAAAACTGATGTTTACTGTTTAATGCGATTACAGAAACTACAAAACATTTCAATGAAATGTGTCAATCAGAATAAGAAGCTGAAAGGTTACGCCATACAAATGTACACGATTCTTTATTATATCAATTTGCAACATTAGTATCATTTTATTAAAAAATTAATCATATGATTTTAATAAACATTTATAAATTGCACTCATCTCTATACATGATTTTAAAATATATTTTGTATAACCCAGGTATATTCCACATCACACGGTATGATTAATATTATAACATTACAGCACTCAATTTGTATGTATATAATAAATCAAAAAATCTGAATTGATGATATACATAAAATATGGCACAATTAAGACAATTCAGGTTCAGAAAATTTTTTATAGCATCTTAACTTTACCAGAAAATAAAAATAATAAGACAGATCTATAAATGGTTCTCAGCGTTTTTAAAAATGAGTTTGTTTGAACAAAAAAATTACTAATACACACAACGCGAATTGATTATTACCCATTATAATTATTTTTTATAAATTGCAATCAATAAAGCAATAAATTATTAATGTGACCAAAATTGAATTGTAAAAATGCTGGTTTCCATTAGTAAACAATAATTACAGTAGGCGCAAGCTAGGAAGAACCTGCGCAGAACTGGTCTTCGTACCGCTTCAGCCGAACGGTGTCGACGCGTCATTTGTTAAGAAATGCATACTATACTTTGTCTCAAAGTGACTAGTCTGTGCATGGTAAGATATGCAATGCTAACCTTATGGGAAGTTCACCAAGACGTTGCCAGTATTTATGCAGTGAGCGATGCCGTTCTCTATTGTCTATCTTTCAAAATAAACGGAATAAACCGAGTTTTCAACAAGTCCTCCTTCACCAAGTTTCTAATAGTAACTTATCAACTTTTATCTTTTATGTGCATTAAATAAACATTTTTTTTAAGTGGAAATTGAAATGTCAATAAACGTATTTTTACTTTTTCAAAGTTACTTGAAAAACAAAGAGTTTACTTTTAAGTTTTTCAAATACCTTCTTCTAAGTTATTCTGTAATTAAGAAGCAATTGGAGAGTAATTCTTGTACAGAATATGTTTAAAAGCTTGATACATCCAGGGCCTTAATTAGTCTTTATTTGTTCTTCGGAGCGCGTAAACATATGCGAGTTACGATTATTTGTACCATCTTGGATGTACTGTTACTGTTTTGTTATTGTTATTTTCTGTTGTTGGCTATTGTTATATTTGACGCCGAATTTTTACCTCAAAATTGAGGAAATTGTTCAATGAAAACGTGGAAAAGCTCTGAAACTTTCAGAGAAGTAGATACTAATGAATATTATTAATTATCATCTTAATCAGGATAACAACGATTCTCAATGTATCAAGTGTAATTAGGAAAGTATCAGAAATGAGTAGTATTTGCGAAAAGACTCTGTTTCGCATATGACAGGAATATTCATCACCTGCTGGATTAAAATCTCCAAAGAGCAAATAAATAAAAGGCATTTCTTAATTTCTATTTTATTTTAATTTAACCCAAGTATGTTGTAGCAAATATTATTAATGTTCGAGAACCACTGACAGAAGGAAGCCAGGCAGGGTCGTTAGTGGGCATTAGTACTCAAGCTACCTTCAAAAGATAGATTAGGCTAAGTAGTAGGAAGTGACGTTTATTTTAATACAAGTTTGCAAAGAAGTATTTCATCGATGTTGTGCATTTACACTGTACAGACAAGTCACTTTGAGACAATCTATAAATACGCGAGGCGTTGATTCTCCCTAGCTGGGCATTACTTTGTTTTGATGATTTTCTGGTAAAATTTTATGTAATAAAGTCTTGAAATCTTAATAATTTATAATACATATTTTTTGATAAATGAAATGACATTATTATGCCATTGCGTAAATATAAACTCTTCATCTAGAATGCTTTTTTTATAAACAAATAAGCAAATAAAATACCAGGTAAATAATCTGCAGCGTGTATAACCCCGCACAAAACCCGAAGATTGCTATTTAGTTTGGACTTGTTACATTGGACATCCAGCTCCAATAAAAAATTATATCGAATTAAGGTACCATCAAGAGTTACTAACAGTACCAAACAGTAAATGGCAACTTCCTCTATATATTGACTTGATTATTAGTACAGATCACTAGAATATATAGACTTCAGCTTAGACACTTACAGCATCGACAAAAAAACGCGTCACGAAAGTACTGTTGGTCCTACAAATATTTTTATGTAGTTACTGTACAAATACTGATATTAGAAGGTAATCGGTGTACCTATTTCGAGCGAGATGCTCAAAGAATTCTTCACATTTTTTGCTCAAATTTACAAATGCGAAATCACCTAACACCAAAACGACTACTTGCTTTTTTAATCATTTGAAATTTTATTGTACAAACTTTTAGCAGTTTCCGTTGAACACTAAACATGATCAAAAAGTTATAATTTGGTCATACAGTTATTGTGAAAAAAGTCCATTGCATTTTATAGCTCAAGGAAGCACAAAAATCCTCAATGTCAAAATCAAACACTGAAATCAAAGTGGTTTAGAGAAATCAAATAAACTAGCAAGAGTGGTCGCATATTCATTGAATATGATGGAAGTGACACAATGTGAGATTTGAAATAACGTTGGCCTCGATTATGGGAATAAGAACGATGAGATCATTAAACACTATTAAATAGAAAACAAAAATAGCACACTTAAAAATAGTGGGTGCCAATGCCATATTAAACCTTTCGTTCATGGTGCATTACTTTACTGATATCAAAATGACGTGACCAGATGCTTCTATCCGATTTATTCACAATGCACATTATAATGTGTACATATTAGTTTTAATTTCAAACAGTTGCTTCCATCTAGCGTTGATTAGTTTAAAGTAAAAAAAATGAAATCTAATGAAGTAGGTTGCTGTGACGGTTACTTCAGTGTATGGATGTAAGGTGGCTTTTAATAATTTACAGATTGGTTGTAAATGTCAGATATATTTTTGTTGGTGACTAGAAACACTTGTATTTGCTGCATTTATGGTCCACTTTCCGAAGTTTTTTGTTTTTACTATATTTGAGTAAACTTTAGTGTAAAGTATACAAAACCAGACATTATTTACAGTTGTTTATACTTCATTTATTTTACAGTATTAAAATACATATAAAAATGAGTAAAAGAAACCTGTTAAATGAAAAACGACTGATAGAGCTAATTGAGGCTGGCCTATCAGATATTGACGAGCTTACTGAGGATGGCAATGACGATTATTGTTGGGGGGATAGGGAGGAAGAAGTTAGCAGTGATGATGATAATGAGTTGAAGGAAAACAGTACAGACAACGGGGAAGTTATTCGTTCTGCTGTTGATGGCAAGGGAGAGGGAAGAAGTTTAGAGCATACAGAAGGTATTTGTGATTTTTAACGGTTATGAAATAAATTGTTATTTTTTTAGGCGAATTAGTTGAAAATCAGGAAACACCACCTCATTTTAAAGATACTGGAACAACTACTTCGGAATGTGAACGAAGAGTAGAATCAAGTAAGACAATTATGGATAGATTCTTGACAAACAATGATTTGAGTAAAAAGAAAGATATTATTTGGCGCAAAATTTACCGCCATGAAACACCAAAGTACATCAATTGGCATACTCAACAGCAAGATGATATCATAGAGCTTGAAAGTGCATATTTTTATTTTAGACAATATTTTACAGATGATTTATTTGAAATAATGGTAGAAAATACAAACTTGTTCAGAATATGAAAAAGTTTGCTCCAACAAATGTAGGCGAACTGAAAAAATTTGTTGTAATGATGGAGAATTTACATTATCCACGAATAAAATTTTATTGGAGCCCACAATTACAAGAATCACAAGTATTGATATCGCCTGTTCTAATGCCTGGCTGGAATACCGGCAAAAGGCGATTGCTTTAGGTATTCCGGACAAGAAAATATTTGATTTAATTCATTTTAGGGCATACATCGCTGAAGTTTTGATAAAATAAGACAAAGTATCCCCAGAAAACGGGGATGTCCTTTGGATACAAGAGAATTGACGTCATCTCAGTCACAGAAAAAACAAAAAACAGAAACTAGACCAGCAGCAGAAGTAAGGCTGGATGGATTTTGTCATTATCCTTTTCTTCTAGGTGCAAATTCCCTAAATGTGGTTCTAGAACTAATTTCGTGTGTAAAAAGTGTAATATACACTTATGTATTTCAAAAAAACAAAATTGTTTTATGCTATATTTTACAAATAAATAATTAGTTGCAGATATATGATTTTTAATTGTATTTTGTTTTCCAAAGTTGCAAGAGTTACTACAATTTACTCACAATGTGCAATATATTGTACAGGTCATATACACCGTTTGTTCACAATGTACAATATACTGTACAATTCACATCCCTTAAAAGGTGTAACAGGGATTTTGAGAAGGCCAAAAATTAAAAAATAATTAAAAGAATATGCCCACCAAATTTCAAATTATCATAAAAAACAAAAATTTATGAGCGAAAGGGTTAACCTCACACCTAAAGTTAGGTTAGAAGATTATATGTCACTCATTATGATTTATGTATGGAATATCGAAAAAGGAGAAGTATTCTTGTATACTCAATATAAAATGCTAAACATTGTAAACTGGCCAACTACTATGAGACAACTTAGGTTTAGAATTTTCCAACAGTAGATTGTTTAAAAACTAAAAAGAGTACATTTGAATTATCTTCATGCCTGCTTGATATATTGTATTATATTTGTCAACTGTCAATTTTTATTCTACTTCAAATATAAATTCTATTCTAATTACAATCGAAAAATGTTAAGTTATGTTTTTACAGTGACAATCTCGTTACTCATTACAGAACTCCACTTTGCAAAGTTCCATTAGAAGTTTAAAATATCTTACAATATTTTGCTGTTTATTACGGATGACAGTTAAACATTAAAGAATAGTTAAATTTCACTTGTCATCTGTCATTTTATTATGTTTTGACAGTGTCGACGTTATTTTTCATTGCAGAATCTCACTTTGCAAAAAGTTCTATTAACTTATAAGGAAGATTTCAACTGAAATTTAATAAAAAAAAGAACAACTTAAATTACTGGTTTTTATTAAATTACATGCGAGTAATAATTACAATGGTATCCAGTGACTAGAACATAACTTTTAATTAAACTACTCTTTTTAGTTTTTAAACCCAGTATAATACTTCAAAGCAGTGTACTTGGAGGAAAAATATCATGAACAATAAGGGTAAGTTGGCTAACAATAACCATTTTTTGTTATTCCTTTTTTCTAATCTACAATGGATGATCTCAATTAATTTGTTGATCGAATTATAACTTTTCTTTCATTAACTTTTATAGCCATTAATTAACTACTGTATTTAACGAGAATAGCCTACCATTTTAATAAAAAAATAAAATTTCGATTTCTGTCTCGGCAGTCGCTTTCTTCAACGATTTCAGAGGTAGAAATCGAAACGTCAAATAGAACATGTTTGATTAAATTTGTGGTTCGTTGAAACAGTAGTTAATGTAGAAATGCCATAAGAAAATAGTTTCAGAAGTATATTAGGTCAGTAATATGAACTTTTCAAACTACAAAATTAATTCAAAAACAATTTAAGCAATTTTAGCGGTATAAAAGGTGTAGTAAATAAATTTATAGCAAGTATTAAAATTGCTTCTAATAAAAATGTATTAAAGCTTTAACAGATGTAAAGCAAAATTACTTGTAGTAAACAATTATATGACAAAAAAGATAACTATATAAAATAGAGCTCCAGGCAATTAAAAAGATCAGTTCTTAAAGCTATTGTGAAAAATGTAACAACTACAAATTTAGTAAACTAATTGTCAAATTCATTTTGAAACTGATCATTTTAATTAGAATTTGGTAAAACCTTACAGAAAAAAATACAAATCAATATTATATATCTAATTGTGAAAAAATAATATATGGAATATAAATTAGAACATTTAAAAATTTATATACCCATGATACAATAATGAGCAGAGCGAAAAATGGTTTTCTTGCCAAGCTGTTATTATAGAGTCACAAATGGTTATTAGAATATTCGTAACCAAAGCGTAGTGTTATAGCTCTGGCAGATTCACTTTTTCTAACATTCACCGCCAAAGCCGTAGTAAGTACATGTGAAACTCATCTTTAGTACACTATCACAGTCATTTTAACCTGGTGTTGAAGCAAAAGTTTATCCAATTGTAAACCAGTCATGTAAATATAAATTTTATGTATAATATAATATATATAATACATAATTTAATAAAAATTTGTTAAAATTGTTTTTTTTTTTCAAAATTATCACCATCACAATATTATGGGAATAAAAAAGTCACAGCAGCTTCATATTATCACAAATTTCTCATTGAGAACCGACGTAGACACTATTATCCCGGTTGTGATTCCCATTACTTGCCCAAATAGGATAGGCCAGAACCGTGTTAAGCAGATCATTGTGGATTTCCAGAGAATTTGTAGCATAATGCAGTACTAAATCCTTCAGAGTGGGGTAAATATTATATGGTTCAGTGAAGCCTAGTCCTTTCTGAGTTTCATTGATGATGCAATGGTTAGTACCTCCATTACACTGTACAGATAATGCATATTTATTCATCTGTCTTGACTTTCTTATCAAAAATGTGCCATCCTGCTTGCCGTCTAAAAGTTTTTCAGCATCAATACGGGAACAATTCAGCATCAGCCAAGTACTTTCATCGTTATGTGGCAGAGTATCTGTATCTATCTCACAATCTCCAGGGGCTTCCTCAGCGCTTCTATTCAGAACCTGATTAATCTTCGTTATGGAGAATCCTCTTTGTAAGAGCCATCTAGTGTGCTTGTCTCTTTCACGCACCAAATTGTGAATTTGTGGTTTCAAGGAAGTCAATTCTCTTTCCAACGCTTTTCTATATGCCTCTTTTTGCTTTAAAATCTCTTCTAACTGTTCACAACTTTCAGACATCAAATTCAATCGCTTCTTGAGTAACTCTGAGTTTAATTCCAGGCTCTTAATTTCATGAGGCTGGGCTTCATTCTGAAATTTTTCTTGAATGGTCGTTTGCTCCCTGAATACTTGTACTAATTCTTTGAGTGCATCCAGAGCTTGCCTTTTGGTTTGTACTTCTATTGATGTATCGTTAAAGTCTTTAGAAACTGTCTCAGAAACTCTATTCTTTTCCGTTAAACTTTTATTGAGATAGACCAACTTTTCAACTAGCTTTTCGATTTTTTCAGTCTTGGCTAACTCCTCTTCTTGGTTATTCCGCGAAACGGGATACAGCAATTTTATATCCAATGAAGCGTTATACTGCGATAATGAATCATTTCTAAAATGATTAATCAGGTCTACAACTGACGGGAACGTATATGGTTCTGTAAAACCGTACATTCCATTACGATGGCATATCTTTATCAGTTTGTTTGCACCACCTTTGCGTAGAGTTAGAGTGTACTCTCCGCATTTACTCGATGCATCTCTAACCAAAAATGTTCCATCTACAGTATCATTTAGCACTTCGTTCACATCTTCACGCTTTATATCACCCCAGTACCACTCCGCATCTTGCAAACTCAACACAGCATTGAGTTTTTCTTTATCCCTGTCGATCATTCCGTGATAAACACTACTCCCCATGCGAGACACTTTTCTAGGAGGTATAGCTGGAGCTGAAGCAAATTCCGGAAGTTTTTCTCCCCAATCACATGACAGCAATAACAACTCGACGATCCGATTATGGGCTTGTGTGTTGTAGACAACTTGTCTGAAACCAAAAAGATGATATCAGTTACTAAAAAAACACATCACCTAGTTGCTAAGTCAAACATAATTTTTTTTATAATAGATTATTATCTTATCTATGTACACACATCTGATTTGCTTATCATGAGTGTACTGGACGATAATTTTTATACTCATTCCTTATTATTTTATTTGGTTTAAAAATACTCTGAATTTGCAGCTAAAATACGATAATAAATATTATTAACGATTATTTCCATCACTTCTATAAGATCAATCACTGTTTGATAAAAATAATGATGTTAATAAAATGAATCCCAGAATAATATTACTAATATTTTAGTATATTCAACGGGTAGATATGATTAATTAAAAGACGTATTTTCTTTAAGGCTGTGTAAGAGTTGGGAATAACACTAAGATGACACAAGATATTCTCGAAAATATGGACAAAATAAGAATACATAAAAACAAAGATAAAATAAACAACTAAAACAAAATAAAACAAGCTAAGGAAACATGGACACTTTCAACACCCATAAGAAAATTAAAGAAATTATATCAGGAAATCGTAACAAACCAATCGGGATACAACAAATGCTGATGGTACCACTATAACTGAAACGCAAGACAAATTACGTAGATGGAAAGAATACATTGAACACGTATTTTATGACCAAAAAGTAGAAAAATTAGAAGTTGACGGAGAAGCCACGGGACCAGAAATAATGAAAGAGGAAGTTATTTATGCCATAAAACACACATAAGGTAGAAAAACTCCAGGACCCGATAATATACCAATTGAACTATTGAAGATAATTGATGAAGATAATATTGATGCCTTGGTAGACCTTTTTAACTCCATATACAAGACGGGACACATACCCAAAGAATGGCTTCTCTCAACTTTTGTGATGATTCCAAAAATCACAAATGCAAGATTGCAATGACTATCGGACAATTGCACTAATGAGCCACACATTGAAAACCTTCCTTAAAATCATACATAACAGAATCCACATGAAATTAGAACAAGAAATAAGTGTTTCTCAGATGGATTTTAGAAAGGGCCTAGGAACTAGAGAAGCATTATTCGGAGTCAATGTTCTGACACAACGACGTCTGGATATGAATCAGGACATATATGCTTGCTTCATAGATTTTAAAAAAGCTTTTGACAGCGTTCAACATGTGTAAGACCAAGAACATAGATAGTAGAGATCGACAAATTATATCGAATCTATATCAAAATCAGAAAGCAAGAATAAGAATCGAAGGAGAACTGACAGAGGAAGTAAGTATACTTTGAGGAACTCGACAAGGGTGCATATTTTAACCACTCTTATTCAACATCTACAGTGAAGTGATATTTCAAGAAGCTTTCGCATAAGGACTGCGGATTCCCCGTCACAGTTTTCCGAAAGATAACTATCGGTAATACTTGAGATATAGAAAGGGTATTTATGAAAATGTCCTCGCACCTCATTGTTATCAGTAAATGGGAAATATTTGGGTCATGACACCTAATGTTTCCAGTAAGTAGGAAAAATTTACGTATGTACGTGCTAAAGTGTCCTAACTCACTTATAACTGAGTTAGACAAGCATACCAAAGGATCAGTAAAACTGTTTGACATAATGACATACTTTCAAATGAATTACACCCGCTGTTTAATATATACAGAGAACATATGAGCAGAGCGTTTGAATAATAGAAAAAAGGCATCCTAACAATCGGCCGAACAATCTATGCTTTTTCGACGATAAAACCCTCCTTGCCAACAGACAAGAAATCCTAATTGATCTTATACGGCTGGTTGAAAATGAGAGTAAAAGGTTTGATCTGGAATGAAATAGCAAAAAGACAAAAATCATGATAGTATAGGTAACACAACAATCATATCCATATAACCAAAATTGAAATATCTAGCCATGATCGTCATGGGAAAGATGACCCAAAATATGGAAGGGCCCATTATTTCAAAAATTCTAAAAATGAGATTGTTCAACCCATTAACATTTGTAGTACTGACACATGAATGCGAATATTGGCCTCTAAAATATTGCGAATTCCTTGGACCGACCGTAGAACAAATAATTACTCTAAAAGATCATAAGATAATAATATTTTCAGCAAATCCAGCAAATATTTTGGACATGCCAAGGGTAGACATAGACAAATATGGAGAGACTCATAATTCAAGGAAAGGTAGAAGGAAAAAGATCACGAGAAAGATCTCCAACGAGATGAATTTAGCAGATCAAAGGAAGTTGCAAAAGACTTGTCATGGTGTAATAGAAATGAAAAGAAGACAAGAATCTATGGGGACCGTACATGATATCATGACGACCATTACGCTCCCTCCAGGTGGTCAAGACTGAATAGAGGAAGAATTTTGGAAGAACATAAGGTCCTGAGAACTCGTCATTTCCACAAAAGAATTTTTTCCTCATTTTTTTCAGTAAGTAGGAAGAGTTTTTGGTCAGTGGGTGGTGGAAAGGCAAAACACAAATGCAGACAAAACAACCTTGCGGATATTGTTGGTTGAGTTGCTCGCCAATAAATAAGAGGAAAACACCTATTTGTTAATAAGTGGAGTTAAGGTTCACTGTCATATGCAGCTGAGTAGAAGGAATGTTAAGGTTTTTTATATTCCAGATAATAAAAACGCTGTGGTAAGTAGCACAAAAACCCAACTGCACTGGCTCTTTAGTATTGAGAAGACGAACAGAGCCCGAGCTGGACTGCTAGAGCCAATAGGGCTCTATGGTTCACAGATGAATTTTGACTCTAATCTTGGGTTATTGAAAACTAAGGAGATACTTTTTAGTATGAAATGCTGGTTTGGAAGAGTCGATTTGTAATGACTGGGGTGGCAAAGTACCAGAGGTTCAGGAGACGAGACTTGATATTTCTTTAGCAACGGGATAAAGGGTAGTTTTCTCAAACATTTTTTAGCACTTTTCTTGTTTATGTTCTTTCTATTTGAAAGACTTCCTTCCATCACTGCGCTCTCTCTCTCTCAACATAAAAAATAATAATGATGGATATAATGGAGAATTGAGTGACAAATATACAACTTTTAAGAGCAATACCACAATGTTATCATTACAGACTTCTTAGTGGTACAATTTTTCATAACTAAAATTATTGGAATGCACTATACTGTGTATTGTATAATCGGACAAAAGGCGTTTGCCAGTGAAATTTTAAGTATTTTACGAAAAAGAAGTTAAAAAAAAAGAAATCTGAAAACATTGCAGACATATCGACGCCATATTACTTATATGCATCGGGCTATATTTTAAAATAACAACGATATGAACAGGCGTCTGAACTTCGTCTTCGGCGAAGCGAAAATAAAGTTCCGTTAGTTTTCAAAGGCTACAGAATGAATTTTTGGAAACGTTAAACAAAATAAGAAATGTAGACATACTATAGAAGAGAAAAGTTGTATGAAAGCATACATGTAACAATAAATATAGTTCAAACATTCAAAGAATACGGAAGTGTTTTTAAAATGTGTATGATATGTGCATAAAGATATCCACACCACATATCTTGTATCCAAACTAAATATCAGGTAACAAGTTTATTCACAGTCGCTGACTGGAACCTCTGCGCTCATCTTTGTACGAGAATATAAGAAGTTTTCCAATTTTTTTTGCTATAAACTAAACGGGTATTGTCAACGGTAGTTTTAAAATCCAAACAAAAGACACTAATCGCAGATAAACAAATAATTTAACTCGTGTAGTTTCAGATTCGTTTAGTTTATTACTTAATAAATATTTTGAACTCTCAAGTCTTCAATTAAAAGAATATTTGTAAATTTGTAATAAAATTTACATTTATAGTGAGCGAATTAAATTTACTACTGAATGCAGACATACAAATGATATAATGTGTTAATTTTTCCAAAGACATTAAAGACAATCTTGCAGTTTTCGTTCAAGTATGTTTCCTACTCATCTTCAAGTTATTAATTATTAAAATTATTTTGTTAGAATGTGGTAACTGGTTATGTAAGCAAAATTTAGATCTAAAAATTATGCATTCAGTGTAAGAATCAATTTTAACTCTCGACTTATTTGCACATCGGTGTTTTCTTTCTATTATTTATTGGTGATTTATTTGTCTATTTATCACCGTTCTTATGGTAAGTGTCTGTGGTGTGGTTATATTGTAAAATTCTTCCCACATATTCCCCTACATCCCCTCAAATTTGAGTCATCTCTCTTCGATAACCCTTTTACAACCCTCCACCTTCTCCACTAACTAATTTGGAGTACGCTCCCTCATACACATCCTTCACGAGACTTACGTCCTTCTCAGGAACCCATTTCTCTCTCATACATCTTCATAGTATTTGTCTAGGAAATGTAGGTACGACACATCTCTCCTATCTTCACCCAAACTGTTCTTCTCCTATCGATGTCTCTCTTCTCAACCTTCGCTCTCCAGTTCCCCCCGTTTTCATTGTGAGCGACATCAACTGTATTCTTCTATACGTCTTAGTTCTGAGTGTCCCCTTTAATGCCTTCCAAACCTTCACAGGTATTTTACCAACTCCTTCTGCCATATCATTCTTCATCCTATTTACAGCATCGACAATCTCATATCTCATTATATCCGGTATTACATTCTCACTTAAGGTACCGCATCATATATATCTCTCTCCTCCATATATTTCCTCCGGTATTCTTCATTTCGCAACTTTCTAAAGTACTCATACGATCTTTGCTTTATTTCAACATCGGATCTTAACTCTATTTCATTCGCACTCTTAATCTACCGCACGTGAGTCAAGTTCTTTGATGACTTGTCTCTTGCTTTAGCAATGCTGCATAGCAGCACAGTTCCCTCTTTGCTACCTTGTATCATTATCTTCCCTTTTATACTTGTCATACCTCTTTCTTCCCCCGAACCTTTTATTTCAGTTCAATGTACCACTACGAAGTTTGTTTGTCACTAGGAGGTTCCTTACCTCATCTCCCACTCACACCACAACTTTGGTTGGCT